ACGATATTTAATATTAAAAAATTTATTTTTATTTAATAATAAATATTAGATAATTTAATATCATCAAAACTACACAATATCTATAAAAAAAAAAAATTATAGCATTAACTATAACAGAAAATAACATTTACATTAACATGAAATGCATGATTTGTTACAGACAATTCCAGTACATAAATCCGGCTTGAGTACATTTTGAGATGTTTACTATTATGTACTGACAATATGCACATGCACATGAAGATAAAGCTTTTGATCGTGTACGTTAGGACTACAACCATATATATATATGTACTAATATGGACTCGTCATGTCGGTCACATCCTACTGATCGGATAAGGCCATTATTTTTACACGCTTTTTTTTTTTTGTCTGATATCCAGAACTTTGTCCTGACTAATTTAGATCGACCCGCGTCATGCACTTAAAAATGGTGATGAATCTCTCAATGAAAACTGTTGCATACACAAAGTCTAAAACTTAAGATTTTACTTAAACTGAAACAAATCACTTATCACTTGATCCAACTCCTCATTGGTTTTTACACGCTTTTCTTTCTTGATATAATTATGTAATACGCAACCGCCCCCCCCCCAAAAAAAAAAAAAAACATGATTAGATCATGGAAACATGAACACTTTTCTTATGGGTGACTTAGGAAACCAAATCAAGCAAGTAAAACCCTATTTTACTCTCTGTCTCCTTTTTAATGTGACATGGATAAAGTACTTTTGTTGAAGAGAATTCATTGATGTTAGGATCAAAACTTCAAAAGTCTTATCTTATTCATCAATTAGAGTGAGGGGGTAAAGAGAGCCTATTCTAGCCTTAAGATGGAGCCTAAAGGACACGTGTATGGTTGCTGTATTAAGGTAGTACAGCCATAAATATTTTCGCCAATGCCTTAAACTAATTAATGTAGTGCTTTGAGATACGTTGATTTGGCTACTGGGAGGTTGAGATGTGACAATCAAAAGCCAGCACATGCAAATGGAAAACATTAGAGACTCAGCAATGAAAAAGCACCTACCATTCCCAGAAAGACAGTTGATTGGGATCTGGTGATAGCACACACACTATATTATTATTAATCTCACATTAATTTTATTTTTTTTTT